GTGCTAAGCACAAGTCTGATAGAACATCAATAAGAGCATAGATTCTTCAGGGAAATGGGGTGGTGGCGGTACTTTGAAAAGGCATTTTTGTCTTTGTACAAAGTAAAACTGTCAACAATTTTCTTGGCTGGAGGAAAATAGAAAGCAGACAGTGAAAAAAACATTGCAGGGCACATAGGCTTTAAAAGGTAAAGAAACATTGGCCTAAGGATTCAAGCATTTCTCCTTAGAAGAGATTCAATAGGAAGAAGACATCTAAAGATTCCCTCCTCTGGCATGAAATTTCTAATTTCAGGCTGTGAAGCAGGCACAAGAAGGAGGGAGTATATATTTAATTATGGAAGTATAGGCATATTTTTAAAATGCTTTTGACTTTGGCTCTTTATAGATCTTACCAGTGTCATTCCATCCTCTTAATCTTCTTCATATCTACTGCTGCCCTTATCTTTAGGGTCAGGAACCGCCAATACCTATGTGAGGTAGAAACTTCTAGATTTGCCTCACTAACAGCAGCTAAGTCTCTTGCAAGGGGAAGAGGAAAGCCCAGTGTTACTGCTTTAAGCTGTGTTAGCTGATGGTTACAGCTTAGGTATAGTGGGAGATAGAAAACTAGATAGTCTGTCCCATGCTCAGAAATACATACTGGTAAACACAAAATCTTGTGACGATCCAAAACAAGGATTAGGCGGGAGATAATGTACAGAGAATGAGTAGTTAGGCTTTATCTTAGGCCAGCTGCCTGTCTGCTGTTCAGCATCCATTTCTTTCTTTTTGGTCCTGAGAAGGCCTATTCAAATGACTGAGCTAACAATGCCACACACAGAATGTTAGTGTACAGTGTACCCTGTAGGTGTAAAAACTTGGCTTTGTTTTGTCCTTGTTCATGAACAAAAGCTTCTTTTTTGTTAGCCTCCCAAATGTTCCTTGCCATTATGCAGTAATACATTAATTTTGAAACAAAATAAATTATGTACATTTTTGAAAAACAGAATTAAAAGAAAAACCTTTACACATAAATACACATATGCAGACTGAAACTGACATTATCCTGGTTCCTTCTTCTATGCATCTGAGTTATAGCCAACACCTGTGGCCACACAAGGGGTCGGCTTCACAGCTGCAAAACCCAGATGTCAGACACTGGATTGTACGTCCCTGGCAGCAGTCCCAAGTGGGAGGTCGTCTCCTTAACTGACCTCTGAAATGGTCTGACTCCCTCTCTGGCCTGGGTTGTAACTAACAAGCTGGTTTGGAGTTAGCCTACTGATGGGTTGTTCTGGATGCAATTATCCTTTGCCTTACCTTTGATTGTAAGGAATTTATTTCCTTTGTAGGGGTGAAAATTGGGACTGGGAAAACTCTTGACAAAGAACTATATTCAGGTTTCTTCCAAGGACAAAAAATAAGACACTATTTACTTTGATTGCCCCCCCCCCCAATGGAAACTGGATGAGATCAACTTTGCTTTAGCACACAGTTGAGTTTTGGTTAATCAGAAGTATGACAAGTTCCTTGAAGGCATGTCTTCCCTCTGAAAGAAGACTGCATTAGGCTGCTCTTAAAATTACTTCTTAAAGGAGAAAATGAAACATTTCTTCTCTTAGAATCTTAAGGAGCTAAATTTTGTTTTTGCTATTGCTAAAAAAAGTCATCAGCTGTAGAGAAGAGCTCTTTGTATCATGAGTATCGTGGTTTTTTTAAAGAGGAAAATGATTATCCTGGAACCTGCTTCTTCAACACTTGGTGAAGAATAGCATTATGGGTAAGATACAATCTTTGTGGGAATGAGGTAGGGAAAGACCAAGCATCTAAGAGGGCACCATTTACAATGCAACACTTGTAGCCCCAAAGGGAAGCTCTATTTTGAATAGTTATAGTCATGGCAAGTTAAAGAGAAATACATCTGGTATTTATAGGAAGATTAATTCTGAGGAAATTATAGAATATGTTATATCCAACATGGTATTCATCTGCACCATGTAAAATGTTCCAAAACTTCTTTATTAGTTTTATAATAATGTAAACATATCTCTTGGCCGCCACTGATTTAGAATTGGTGTCCCAATATAAGTAAATGATAAATAAATCAATAAATAAATCAATTGGAGAAAAGAGACGTGCCTCTCATACAGAAAAATTCCAAATAGTTTATATGGCTACTAACCCCTCAATTCCTTATCCCTTCAGTGTGGGCTATGCTTTTTGATTGAATTACAAAGAGTAGGGTATAAAAGGGGGGAGGGGAGGAGTTACTTTACAGTGGAGAGACCTGGTGCACTCTGCCTTGGCCACTTATACAGGTTAACATCAGCAGTGAGGTCATGTTGACAGCATGTACCCTTGACATGATACAGTCTCATTCAAGGGCATTTCACCTTTGCAATATCCCTGCAAAATCCCATAAGCACAGTCCAACCATGTGAAACCATTAGATAGTACTTGTCTGACAAGTACTCCACAAAACTGTGATAGTCACTGAAAATCATAAATAAATAAATAAAATGTCTGAGAGACTGTCACAGCCAAAGGGAACCTAAAGAGGACTAAGTATAATGGATTCTTCCAGATGGGATGCTAGGGAGAAAAAGGACATTAGGGGAAACTATGAAATCTGAATGGTGTGGATTTTAGTTAATAGTAATGTCCCAATGTTGGTTTCTTAGTCGTAGCTATTATTAGGGGAAATTAGGTGAGAGGTATTCAAGAATGCTGCACTGCTTTTGTAACTTTTCTTTAAATCTAAAACTATTCTAAAATAGTTTATTTAAATTAAAAAATGATGATTAACCCATTGTGATACTGACTTTAACAGAGTTCCTACACTTCAATCAATACATCTCTCTCTCTCTTTCACCCACATCTATCCACCAAACCATAGGGCATAAAAAGTCATTTCCCTGGCACGTAAGAATACTTTATCTGTAAGGCCACTGCTGTATGAATGGAGTCAGACCAATTCTGAGAGTTTTAGATCTCCCAGTCAAATTTAGGTCATGGCCTTAGTAACATGACACAGTGCTCAAAGATAACGTCCACAAACCCATATTTCTCAATGGCTTTAAAAGATGCTACATCCTTCAGCCACCTATATAATACACTTAAATTTCATGTGAATGCTATTAATGACATGGTTAATAGGACAATGTATTAATCTCTGAAGGTAACACATTCTCTGCTAGATTACTGAGGACAGTGCTTGCTCATTTACTGATCAGTTGTTATCAGGAGAGGTAAGGGGTAAGGTCTGATGGACCACTGTTTTAGAACAAGGGCGAGATTATTTCTTTGCTACTCTCTATTTTTCCTTTAGAATTATGAGAAATCAGGTCTTTCAGAAGTTTAGAAGATATTTCTTTCATACTGTTTTCAATTTATCATTTTACTTTGAGAAAGGGTAGGAAAATGTTGGTGTCAATGAATGTTTACTTAAAAAAAAACACCTAGCATGGGGTTTCTAGAATCATTAACAAGAAACGTGCTTTTGTTAACATTTAATGATATAATTTTAAAAGTTCAGTTAATCACAGTTTAATTAAGTATAATAATAAATTGGTCAGAATTGCCCCTCCAATTCTGTTTTTAGGAAAAGATGCAAATGCCACTTTTAAAAAGCTGAAAAAAATTACATGCAACTCCCTGCATATATTTTAGGGATAAAAATAAGATTCATTAAAATCACTTGTACATTCCATACCTACAGGACTTTATAATGATAACTTGTTAAGGGGGATAAAACCATGATGCTTGATAATAGGAGGAAAAAAGTGTTTCTATGGAATTCTTAACTAAGGACCTGCAGAAGAGTCAACTAATATATTTTAGGAATATTTTTCAAAGTGAGGTAGTACTTAATACGGAAAAAAATAATGGTTGGGAGGGATGTACAATCAATGTAGGTAGCTATTTTTTTTATATTACTCTTTAAGAAGTTCAGTTAATACATATTTTGCATTTCATTAGACTATCGTATGTGTGTGGTTAGTAATGAGAATTATAACAGTCCTGTTTCCCAGAACACTGATGATGTGTCAAGCTTTGCACTGCCAGGCATTTGACATGCACCATCCAAAACCTAACACAACCCTGCAAGGTGCACACAGTTACTACTTAACAAGTACAGGAACTAAGGGCACTGGAAGTTAGGGGACTGACTCAAAGTCCCACAGCCTGTAAGTGAGGGAGCCACTATGAGCTTTGCCTGCCTGCCTCAAATGCCTGAACTCTCCTTCCACAGGATACAGCTTTGTTGTAATTTACATTATCATTATTAACACTAGTCAAGTAAATGTTTATCACTAATGAGGTGACTTAAGTCATTTAACCTTTCTAGGCTTCAAGGTTCTCTTGAAGATGGAGTTAGTTGGCTGCTTGTCTTCCAATGTTTTCTTCCAATTTTAAAATAGGAACAGTGATTTATATACAGGATGAGAAAATTAAAATGGTCATTTCTACCATGTTTTTGATAATAATAGGTTATTAACACTGGTACTTACTATATTTTGTATTGATGGGATCTATCTAGAGATGTTCATGTGATTTCTCTCAAATCTCTTCAGTCCTATTAAGCCAGAACTAGTGAGTGATGTTTCCATTTTCAATGTTATTCCTTAAAACTTACATATAAGAGAAAATGTCATACTTTTCTCTATACCACATAAACTATTTACTTAAATATTTGCCTCCCAAAGAATCAATAACTTGCATTCAGACAGGAATAATGAAAAGAAAATAATTTTTCTGGCCTGGCCAGTGTGGGTCAGTGGCTGAGCATCGACCTAGGATCCAGGAGACTAAGGTTCAGTTCCTGGTCAGGGCACATGCCTGGGTTGCAGGCTCAGTCTCCAGTGGTGGGCATGCAGGAGGCAGCTAATAAATGACTTTCTCATTCATTGATGTTTCTCTGTCTCTCCCTCTCTCTCCCTCCCTCCCCCTCCCTCTGAAATCAATACAGGCATATTAAAAAATCATTTTTCTGTATCTGAAATTAAGCAAAATATCAGTTTATTTTTATTCATATTTATTTAAATATAACAATTTTTTAGACAAGTGAAAATATGTATAAGCATATTTATAGCATGGTAGACATAAATACAAGTGAAATGTATAAGTAAGTATTTAAGACAAAATTTAACACATATTGGATAAATTGACGACATACTTACATTGAGCTTTAAGGTACATTAACATGGATATTAAAAAGGATGAGCTTTCACAAAAACTGCTGTAAAATGTTCACATTTTTGTTAGTTATAACAAAACTAACTTAGTTTGTTAGAAATAAGTCATATTTCCTAGACTGATGTTGTACGAAAACTATGTACACATCTAATTTACCTCATGTGGTAATATAATTTGTAAATGACACATTTTTTTCAATAGAAATGTTCCTTTATCTTTTAAATAACAGTGTTTTTATCAAGAACATGCCACATTTATTAAACAAACATGCAGAACACATTAAAACTGAGTAATTCATGTACCTTTAATGCAGTGTTCAGTTTTGCTATGGCACTCTGTCTTTGTGAAAAATATACTTAAAACCTGGCAAAGAATTAATAAATCCTATTGCTACCATTCAGAATAGGTGTGATTCAAATTTTACATGGCACAGAAAACACTCTATCACAATGTACCACTTCCCTTCGCAGTTTATTGATCAATGGCAGTTCTTTTCTGTTTTAGGTGGAATAAATAATGGACATTGAAGAACTAAAAGTCCCATCTAGTGTATTGCCTATACTCTAACTGGAAATGAGCTGATTTCAGTTTTTCTAGCAGTAAAACATTTCCATCTGTATTATGGCCAACAAATTTCTAAGTAAGGGTGTTACCAGCAAATAATATGTATCATCATGAGATGTTGTTCTTTGGGAGGTTGAAAGGAAACATGGATCTCTTCCTACACTGGGAACATACGTGGTCAGGAGAACAGATGCCACTGGGGCAGAAGCAGGGAAGTCTTTGGAAAGCTGGCGGGGGAGCACACTCCGAAGAGGCACAGAGGCACACAGAATCAAAGGCCGGAGCGCAGGAATCACGGTGCAAAGGTCCGCCAGGGGCTTAAGGAAACTGAAATTTATCACTTAAAGAAACAGCAGCCAGAGCATTCTTCTATCAGCAAACTCCCTTGCTTTTTAGGAAAAGTTTTCAATTTCCACATCAGTGTCTATATCAAGACTGAAGACTTTTTTCTGAACTCATTCATAAACACTTTGGAAGAAAGACAATAGTATTAACTCAGGCTTCCTCCAAGTCAGAGAAGAGAATTCACACTCACTCTAGGGGCAGACGTCAGACTTGTGGTAACCAAGGAAAACGCCACAGTTCTTTTTCACAGTTCTAAGATAAATGTGAGGTGTTATATTTTGAAAGCTTGGTTGAAGGAATCTACTCCTTTCATAAAACTACGGTTACCTAATTTTTATATTTATTATTTGGCAGAAAGGAAGTAGAACTTAGGTTCAATTTTTATACAAATATACTTCATTCTGAAAAACAGAGCAGTGAACATAATGTTATTTACTTTATGATCCTTGCTTCTCTGAGGGCCTTTAGACAGTGAAACAGCAAAAAACATCAAACAGGTTAAATACAATAAGCAAACTTCTGTTTTAAAGCTGTAAAGGTACAAACAAACATAAAAATTATGAATCACAGAGCACTGAATTTTCAAGAGTAAAATCATACCAAAACCGTGATAGGTTTTCACTGATGTCACAGGTGAGTAAGTGGTCTGGAAGGTCACTGATGGTGCCCTGCACTGCCAGCACATGCGGGGCCAAGGTGAAGGGTACGTCGCTCAGAAGCTCAGCCATTAACGAGCTGTTTTCCAGAGTCTGGCCTGTCTTAGTTTCCGCCTCGGGGCCTGCTACAGTCACACTGGGTGAGTTTTCTTTGCCAGTCTAAAAATACATATATATTCAAATCATTTAGACCTTATGGATTTGGAGGTTTAGTAATGTGGCATGAATATAATGAAATGATAGAGAAATGGGGGAATATATAAGTATTCCCAGGTCAGAACGTAGCTATTTGCTTTACTTGAGAAATATATCCATATAGAGCTCTACTAGGCTTTAAGATGAATCCTAGCCCCTACTCTTACTCAGATTGACCACCCATGACCCCCTCAAACTCAAACCGTCATTCTGACTATTTCTCTAGCCCAGATAATGTCTACAAAGTTGGCTGCTTTTCCAAAGCCTGTATGCTTTCAGGCTCTACAGAATTGCCAGATTCCCTGTGAAACCTTATATCAACACCATCCAATGACCTTGCCCACTTCAGAATGATTACGGGGCAAATTGCCTAGGATATTACTTGGCATTTCCCACCCATGTCCTTGCCAGGTGCTGTTTCATGTGCATATGTCTTACCCCCAACTGGAGACAAGAGGGTCCTTGAGGGCAAGCAATCTAGTTGACATATCTTTGCATTCTCTGCCTTGTATACTTGACTGCCTTACCCTAATATATACCTGAGAGTTTACCTCTAATGTGTACCATAAGTATTGACTGTCTGACTTGCATAGGAACTAACATGTTACTTAAGTTATTCAAATACAAAGAATTGATATTTCTTGTTCAGTTTCTTTAAAATTGGTATATCTTGTATACAGTAGTTTACCAAAAGATGTGCGGTAGGGTGTTCATAGCAGCACTCTATGCAAGACTCAAAGTGGAAATACCTCAGTGTCCACCCATAGTAGAATGGATACACTGAAGTATATTTACAGTAATGAGAATCAACCACCTGCCACTGAAAGTGGCTGAAACCGAAATAAAACCAGTTTAGGCAAACATTTACTCTCCCACCCCCACCTCGTCTCATGCAGACTAAAACTCTGGAGTTTTTACGGAGGCCTACGAGGCCCTCAGTGACCTGCCCCAGGTACCTCTCTGACCTCATCCCCAGCTAGTCTGTCTGGCTCCCTCTGCAGTCTCACTGCCTCCTTGCTGTTGCTCGTGCACACCCAGCCTGCTTCTGCCTCAGGCCTGAGCTTTCCAATCCCGCTGCCCAGGAGGTTCTGTTCCCAGATATACACTGGGCTCCTTCCCTCACCTCATAAGTGTTGGCCCAAATGTCACCTTCTCAACGAGGCCTTTCCTGCCTGCCTTGTTTACACTTTATCCTGCCCCCTCCCCTCTAGCACTCCCTGTCCCCTCCCCTGCCCCTTTCCTCTCCATAGCCCTTAGCACGTCGATCTTTGTTATATAATTTATCCTGATTATAATCCCTCAGAAACTTAAGGAGTTTTTGTCTCTCATGTTCACTGCTGTATCCCAAAATGCCCAGCTCAGTACCTAGTGCTCAGTATTTATTGGTTGGATGAAATTAAACAAGATTTTTGCCTGCATGGGGTTTACATTATAATGGTTATAAATGCTGATAAATTCCTTATCTCTAAGTCTAGAGAAGAATGATTGTGTGTAAGAAATAATTTTTTAAAACTTTTTATGGAAATACATACAGTAAAGGGTACATAAAGTTTACAGTTTGCTAAATTTTAACCACATCAAACACCTGTGAGCACCCAGCACCCCAATCAAGGAACAGAAACAACAAGCTCCCCCAGAAGCCCTTAGGGTGCTCTCTTTCAGTCACAATCACCTCCCTGTCTCTGCCACCATCACCATCCTCTCTTCTAACAGCATAGATTGGTTTTACCTATTTTTGTATTTAAATGAAGGTCATCCTATAGTATGAACTCTTTTTGTTTCTGGCTTCTTTCACTCAACATTGTATGTAGGAGATTCTTCCATATTGTTGCACATGGTATAAAAAGAACATATGGTTGCGAAGGAGATACATTCAGACTGATGTCTTAAAAGGGTCATTTTGGTTGCTGTGTTGACAGTAGATAGTGGGGGGCGTGGTGGCCAGGAAAGGAAGCAGGAAGACTAGCTGGGTCTGAGAGAGGACTGTGCGTGGATTAGGGTTGGGATCATCAAAGTGAGATGAGCGGTTGGACTTTGGACAGACTTTCAGGATAAGTGGATGTGGGGCATGACAGCAGGGTGGAGTCGAGGATGAAGTTAGAGTTTTGGCCTAAGCAGGAAGATCAAGAGCTCCGTTTTGGTCGTTCCAGGTGCCTCACAGCCAGCCAGGTGGAGCTGGGGCGTGGTGAGAATTGGAGCTGAGTGAGAGAGGCCTGGTGGAGAAAGTCCTCTTGTGCGTGTTTAGAAGAGTATGGGAGCAAAGACAGTGAAGACACATACGCGAACAGACAGCTTTTTCAAGACATCATGCTGTAGATGGGAAAAGAAATATGGGCCAGGAGCTGGAAAGGAATGTGGGGTCAAGTGAGGCTTCTCTTCATCTTATTTTCTGGTTTCTAAATTGGGAGAAATACTGGCAGTTCATAGGCTCACAAGAAAGGAGAAATCTGTGGAGATTCTCTAGAGGAGGAACTGCTCTCTTCACCACCCTATCACATGGTCTGATAACTTGTGTGTGAAAATAAAACAGTGCTTTCTTAGGACTGCAAACAGAACAAAAGTAACCACATCCCATTATGGCAAAGCTTATTAGAAAGGTCCATTGTGCAGTGGACAGAGCCTGCCTGCTGAAACCTAACTGGGACTTAAGTGTCCTCAGTCAGCTGACAGCACAGGTCTGACAGCTCCCCCCTCGGTAAGGGCTTCCCCATTCTCCAGCTTCTTCAAGGCCGAGTCCGCAGGGGCTTTGGTTCCCGTGGAGCAGCAGGGCAGTGTTTAAGAGCACAGGCTCTGGAGCCGATCAGCTCGGGTGCAAATCCAAGGTCTCCTGCTTATTAATGTGCAAGTGGCCTTGGGCAAGTTATTTAACTTCTCTGTACCGCCGTGTCCTTAGCTGTATACTGAGATCAAAAGTAGTGCCTATTTCATAGGACTGCTATGAGGATTAAATAATGTCCGCAAGTGGATCAGTGTTTAGCACATTTTAAAGTGGATAAAACCATTCTGAACGTCAGCTCCTACTTAGCTGGGATCCATTCATCTTTTGTTCTTGGCATTCACCAGGTGGTGCAAATACTCTTACCTTCCCTCTTATATCCCTCCCTCTCTCCAATGTCAGGTGTGAGTGTTCCCTAGGTCTGTTAGTCTTTCCTGTGCTTGAACTGTCTTTTCCTCCTTCCTTGTATACAAAATGCTCTTCCTGTCACCAGCCAAATCACCTCCCTTCTTACACGAAAGCATTCTTGGAATCTCACCCTCTCCACTAAAGCATCTGCTTTCTAAACACAACACCTCTAAGGTTTAACTCTCCAGCAGCAACATCTGCTTTGTTTGTGCTTTTACCAGTCCTCTTCTGTTTCCTTTACAAATCATTCTTCCAGAAATAACTGAGGACAAGACTGTCAAACTGTATCTAGAACAATAAAGGAACTGAGATGTGGTCTCTTGTTCAAGTTCTCCTGATAAAAGAGCCATATGACCAGAAGGTCCTCAGTCCTTTGTTCTGTAAAATGCGTGGTGAGGGACAGAAAATGATGATGATAGCAACTAGCACATGTCGAACACTGACTTTGTGCAGGGGTCCATCTAGCTGTTTAAGTGTATTCACTCATTTGCGTCTTGTGGGGTGTGTACTATTATTAGTCCCATGTTACAAACAAGAGGACACTGAGGCACAGAAGGGTTAAGAAAGTTGTCCCAGCCCGGCCAGGTGTGGCTTAGTGGTTGAGCGTCGACCTAGGATCCAGGCGATTGGGGTTCGATTCCCAGTCAGGGCACATGCCCGGGTTGTGGGCTCGATCCCCAGTCGGGGGCATGCAGGAGGCAGCCGATCAATGACTCTCTCATTATTGATGTTTCTATCTCTCTCTCCCCCTCTCCTTTCCTCTCTCTGAAGTCAGTAAAGATATATTTAAAAATAATAATAATTAAAAAAAAAAGTCTCAGGTTACAGAGCTAGTCTGTGGTAAAGCTGAGACCGAACCCATTGATCTCTAGTGCTCTGATATATTTTAAGAGCCTGCACACTTCAGACATGCTCTGGACAGGCTTACTGAATGGACGAAGCCTTCAGAATTTAGGAAACTGTATTAGAAAATATGACTGTTCCTTACACAGCATATCTTGGCCTCAATTAGAAGGAAAAAAGACTAATATATTTTACCTTTAGGAAGAAAGGACAGAAGCTCAGTAAGGTGACAGATGTTAGACTGAAGGAGGGTAGAAAAGCAACTGAAATTTAACAGATTTAGCCCTTGGAAACGAATCTCCTAGCAGTCTGGTAGGGTGACACCGTGGACAGTAAAACAAGACCGTCTATGACTGATTGCTGCTGAATCTGAGAAAAGAAAGGTACATGGGAAGACGCTACAGTGTTCTTTGTACCTTTGTATATGTTTGAAAATTTTCCATAATCAAAACTTTCCCAAAATTAAATTGACTTAAAAAAAATGTAATGAACAGAGTGTTGCACCAAATGCCTCCTAGAGGATCTGGATTCAGCTGTGCTGCATGGCCTACTCCAGCATCTATCTCCTAACAGTTGGCTGGAGTGCCCTGTTACAGTCTCCATGGAGGCTGCCTGCCTGCCCTCTTGGCAGCAGGGTGAGCACCATGATGCAGCTGCTGTTGGCATGCTGAGAGCTGGAAAGGAAGAAATTATAAGGCAAAATAAGAGTAAGTCACAGAGAAAATGTGAGTCAAAATTCAAGGACCCCACACCCAGTAACCCTGATCACCAAACCTCTAGCTTGGCAGCCAGTGGACGCAGAGGTGGGGGCTGAGGGCTGGAACAGGTGCCTGGGCTCCCTGCAACAAGCAGCCCTCTCTCTCAGACAGAGTCTTTCCATTTTTCTCATCTGCATACTAAACTGGGCCTTTAAAAGGAAGAATGAGCATGCTAACCACAAAAGAGCAAGACGAAGAGAGTCCATTAACCTGATGGTTCATAGCCAGGTTTTTAAAAA